GTTTACTTCTCTTCGAGTCGATCAATTGTACTGTGAACATGGACTTATCTCACTCAATTCAGTCACATCCCTTGCAGATGTGGGGCGTGGGTATATGTGGGCGTATAGCTGCGGGACGTGATCTTCTCTTCATTCATACCACCATCTATACCCGACACCCACATCAGCAACGATTGAAATACAGTTTGAAGTGAACGATCAAAAGAATATTTCGTTTTGTTTTCTGTTTTTTTTTTATCAAATAATTAAACAAGATTTAATTTATTATGATCAAATAATAATGTTTATGCATTAAAAGTTGCACATTGAACAATAGTAAGATTTCTGCTTCGTCTTTTTATAACATATATGATTTTTGTTTATGTAACCGTTTGTTTATATTTTCGTTAAAAAATTATAAAAACAAGAAATAAAATCAAATTTAAATAAATCAATGAATTCCTCTATATGATAATAAATTATGCTATCGAATCGATGAATTTCTTTAATTTGATGAGTCCAATATAAAAATTATTATCCATATTGATTTAAATATAGAGGTCTTTGAAATAAGAGAAAACGAACTTATTCTAATCTTGATGAAACATAATTTATCAGTTTAAGAAAAATATGTTTCATTTTGTTGATGAGGAATATATGTACTACTTCTAAATTTAAAGAGGTAATTGAAGAATTCCTTGAAGACGTTTATTACATTATTGATATACGCAAGTATTTTTACATGTTCATATTGAAGTATAAAAAACGTAATTCGATCGTAATTTCAATGTCTGCACACTTTGATTATGTCCTTAATTATTTATTAATAACTAGAATACTAATTAGTAGAATTTCATAATAAAATCATATAGATTCATCGATATATTAGTCATCATAGTTGAATTTTAGATAGACTTTGCTTGTCCATTACGTTAAGATTCTATAATGATCTATAGTTTGTTTCATTTCAAACCGTACTTCAAAATTAAATCTTGAAGTAAGAGTTTCACAATTAATAAAACAAATATCATTACAATGAAGTTTGATGGAACTTTACGTATTAGTAAATTACACAAATTATCTTACACAAAGTAATAGAAATTACGAAATAAAATTTCTTTTAATTTTTTCATAGATCGAGAAAGTATTAAAATATGTTCTTTACTAATTAGTCATCACAATAGATTATATATTTGAGAAAAATATAAGGGCGAATGTGTGGATATGGAGATAAACATTTCTCCGAAATATACCCACACTCATCCATATCCACACCGAGACACCCACACCCACATCAAGTATTTAAAATTTCTTTTCTCGTAGAAACAGACTTTAAAATTAAAAGAGCCATATTTTCCTATGCAGTTCTGCTAGCTCTATTCAACCATGAATAAATAAAAATTTTTCATCTTCTGCTCAAATTTCGAATTAGCTGCACCTTACAAGAAATTGTATTCCGGTACTTGGAAGATGTTGCGGAATTTTTTTGGCTTGTTACTTCTATAAAATTCACAATCAATTCCCTCAGTAAATCGGGAAAAGACAATATATGATATATTCACATATATTGCACGAATCCTCAACAATAAGAATCAGAATAACATAAACAAAGATATATGCTGATGTTCTCATTCTGTATTTAAAAAAATGGGAAAAGATCGAAAACGCAAAGATTATATTTATTTTGTGAAATCAAAGGCATGAACTAGTATTCGACAGCGTGAATGTACTATGAATAGTTATTTCATGTTCTAAACTTTCGCACAACCTTTTTTATACATTTTTTCCTCATAATAGTAATCTTATCGTCATAAACTTGAATGATCATGAATGAAGTTAGTCAGAATATTGAATTTAAGTATGGACTACACTGTTCAATGATGTGTTAGTGCCACTGTGCGGCCCGTTGTGTTGATTGCTAGCATAGTGTTTGTGATTGTGTTTGACGTTGGATAAATTCGGTGACCACCACGTAATCGCAGTATTCTGTACACCAACCGAATGAGTTCTTCTCTATAGGTTCGAGCCGAAGCAAGGTACAAAATGAAGGGCGTGGCGTAGGAACAATACAAGGTAAGTTGAGACATCATGCGGGCAAAGTAAAAGCCAGACGTAGCTTGAATTGTGCTCGGCATGACCAATATTAGATAGGTTACACACGTGGGCACACCGAGTATAATATGAGTGCTCACTTGAATGATAAGCATGCGGACAAGTTGATTTTCCGTGCGTCGATGACGCGAGACTGTGGTAGGAATAGCACCCACTCGTTTTGTATTGGAGATGGTCATGATACCGAAGAACGTCATGAGACAAGGTGCAATAATTGCAAACAGAAAAACTTGCATGATCGGATACACTTGTTTGTAGATAGTATCGGCTCGAATGCGACATCCAAATGTGTCAGTTGTCCGTAAATCGAACAGAACAGCAGTATTTATATAGAAGAGCAACATAAAGATGATAACGAACAGAATCGCCCATCGAGTTATTTTGACGTCGCTGAACTTGCGTAGCTGGGCATTTGTTGAACTGCCACAATATCGATCGATCGAGGCCAGCACAATAAAGTATGGTGATAATAGTACACTTACTTGATAGATATATGTGACGAGTTTGCACGAAATAAGGGAGAACTTGGCCAGATCAAGCTGGTATCCATCGGCCAGCAGACGATAAACGAGAATTGCACTTGTGTAGAAAAGATTGTTGCAAGAAAGGGCCAGAAAATAACGAGAGCAAGCATGAGAATACAAGGTAGATCTAGTGAGAACGGCAATGTTGAGTGAATTTCCTATCACACCAACAACCATGATTATTGGCACGATGGTTCGCGTCAGATTAATGGTAATTTGCGTGAGAGAGTCGATCGTCATCTCTTTATTCTTAACTTTCTATTCGAATGCGTAAAACTTTTTTCTTTTGCTATCGACTTTTGAAGTGCGTCTTTATATTCATTTTCTCTGTTCATTATTAGTATTAAGCCTGTAAGATAAAAAGTATTGTCAACTTCATATCTCATTACTTCATCCTGCTCGGATGATCCATGTCGCTTGGAGATTACTTTCTGTCATATGACAAGACAAGGATTCAATATCAGTAGTAACATTTCAATGCTTTACATTTCATTTTCAATTGTAAAACAAGGACAAACTGTTAAAAAAGTGTTAAATAATTATATTCAATATTGATAAATTCAGGTGGAAAAAGGCAAACAAACATTTATAATTCGTAATTCTGTACAATGTAGACAGAAGTAAAATACTGATTGCGACGAGAGAAGTAACGAGAAGTGATCAGAGATGATAATTTCTCTTTCACTTTAACTTTGAGCTAGATAGTAGCATCTTCAATCCCAAGAGCAACAGAGCTGATGATGGTGCTCATGCCTGACTCGCCAAAAAACCAAAATTTTGAACGAACTCCAATAAGACGATAACAGTTATCTTGATGAAATGAATATAATCGTAACGTGTACGGATTCTGCACAGAAATCAGTGAAACAGTCAAAAAGGGGTTCTTCTCGATTGTTTGTGTGAAATGATCACACACAGAACAGAAGAAGGAGAAGAACGAAAAAAAAACGAAATTGTATTATTGACCGGTATCGACAACATATATTTGGGTGTAACAGTTGATCGACGTCTATTAGCTAAAACATCTAAATTGTTCGAATGTCACTTGGAAAGATCATTCACAGTATAATGTAACGCTCAACGACAAGGCATTTATCTTTTCAATATCGATCGATTGTACAAAGTTAATTCCAATTGCTCAAAAATTTCGTTTCTCTTTTCATCGTGTGGGAACAGATTGTGTTAACTCATTAGTCATGTTACTTAATGAATGACAAGATTTACTTGAACTCAAACAAATTGAAACTCAATTCGAGCACTTTTTTATAATGTTCTTAAATGTAACACTTGGAAGTGCTTACATGATAATATAAAGAGAAATTATGATATTTAAACATTAAGCAATAACATAAATGCGATGAGTTTTAGAGTTATCATTAATAAAATTATACAGAGTATCGCCTTAGTTCATGTGGATATTAAGAACGTAATTACAGAGGCAAAAAAAAGTACGGAAAAAAATTTCACCAGAAGCAAGTAAAGGAAAGAGAGAAAATAGAAGAAGAAAGCGGAGGAAGATTCTCGTATGCGATTCGAGGAGAAAAACAAGAAAAAAAAGGGAAGGAAGAATGCTTTTGTATCAATTGTTTTGCACGATTACTACGAACAAGCTGACCAAGGTCCGTTATGTGCATACAATCAAATCTTCTTTGAATGTAGTGTCTAACGTAAACATCAAATGCATGTTCATTAGTCGAAGATTAACGAGGAATTTTTTGCTATAATAATTGTTGTTGTCACTCGAAAAGCAGGAGAAAGAAGGAAAATAACTATGCAAAATGAAGAAACATACTTGCGAAAAAAACAGGGTCTAAGTGCCTTGATGAAGATGAAACGTTTTGCTCTTAACCATCTAAACTTTTCTAGAGATTTCTGAACGTTTCCTATACATCTATTAAATGTTGATTTCAAGGATAATTTGTGGATGTGGGTAGGTGTGGGTGCGGGTGGATATGGGTGTGGGTTAGGGTGAAGGTGTGGGAGGGTGTGGGAGGGTGTGGGTGTGGGTGTGTGTGGATCTGCGTGAATGCGAGTTTATGGATCAAAAAGAACCCACACCCTTAATATTTTTAATAGAACAGATAATCCTGTTATACATTGTTATTTTACCAGGATTTGACAAACTAGAATTATATTCAACAAATTATACTAACATTTATTTTCTACATTCTCGAATTATCAAATCTCAGTGTTCAAACAAATAAAAGAAATAATCTTCTTCTTTCCAATATTAAGTACTTTACAAAAAACCAAAAAATTCAGCATTGAATACTCTAATTTATTTATAATCTTAACAATATATATCAGTAAATCAATAAAAGCATAAGATATTTAAAAAATTATTTTAAGAAAAATTGTCAAAATATTCTTCGTTCGAAGAAAAGTTTATGGATTTGCTAAAATATTAATTTCACTTTGAGTTAATTCTCGACTGTGCACATATACTTCATCGACTAAACCTCGATAACCAGCATTTGGAATGCTATAAGATATGCACCAACGACTAAATCCTATTTGCAAATATATTATTGAACCAGAAGCTTCAAATGGAAAACTACCAGTACTATCAAAATAAATTCCATCAATACATAACCGAAGTCCATTTATTATACTATAAGTCAGTGAAATATGTGTCCATGTATTTAAAATAACTTTTGGACCCAATATTGATGTATAATTACTACCTTCGATAATAATTTGTGATGTCGAATTTTCAGTTGGTAAAAATCCAATTAAATTTTGACAATATCGACTTCTTGAAGTTGATGCCATTTGAACAATACTACATGGAATATATACTGGTGGCTTTATCCAAAGAGAAACAGAAAATGGTTTACTTTGAATAACTCCATAACCAATTTGATAAAAACCATATGCTTGAAAATAAGATGTTTGACCAGTAAAATTTATTGCTTGATTAATACGTCCATCAACTAATTCTGTATTAAATAATGTACCATTTAATCCATTTGGACCATTATCATTATTTGGATATAGTAAATCAAATGAACAATATGCTGTTAAAGCAGCATCATTTTAAATTTCTATAGACGATTTTGCTCGTAATGATATTTTACAATTATCAATATAACCATTAAAAGAATTTTTTATTAAACCAATTTTCGATGCACCTATTTCAATAATTCCATTTGTAATTTGATAAGAATTCGTATTTAATTTAATATTATCTTGTATTCTATTAATATATAATATTTGTTCGTCTATATTATAATTATAAATAAATGCAATATGATACCATGTATTACTTATTAATATAATATTACTAATTAAGTCATTATTTTTTAAACTTACAAATGAAATGATCGAATAGTTAAATAAAAACATTGATTTGTACATGTTGAACATTGACATTGACTAAATATACCATAATCTTCAGTATTATTTATAATTGGATAAATCCATAATTCAATTGTAAAACTTGTTGAATACAAATTAAGAAATGGTGTTGATACAAGAAAATATTGATTTAATGATGATAATAAACTAAGTCCTCGACCTTGTCCTATATATGATTGATTTGATAATATTGGAGTATATGATGGATTATTTACTAATATTCCATTATAAACATTATAAAGATCTTTTGTTATACCATCAAATGACCAATATACTTCACTCATTGTTGTATCTAAAATTATAATTTAAGATGATATAAAATGAATTTTTAGAAAAAATCTTCTGTATTCCGTAAAATCTCATTTCATTATATCGATCAACTAAATTTTTACCATTTAATTCTTGCGTTGTTATTCTTTTATTGATTAACGTTACGCAAATTGGAATAATTATAATTAAGATCAAAATACCCATTATAGTACCTATGATTAAACCTCGAACAAATAGCGATACAGATGACCAATAGTTCCATAATGTATTTGGAAATTTCTCTCTGAAAAAAAAATTTATTTAACTTTTAAGAATTTCACTATAAATAAATTTGTTTACTTTTTCAGTTCAGAGTTTTGTGGATGACATTGATTTTCTTGCATAGAGAGACTATTATTTAAATTAATATCATTTTCAACATTTATTCCAACCAGGGTTGCCAGATTGTCTGAAAAGTCAGGACAGTGTCTGAAATTTGGATGCCTTTCTGATTTCCTTCTGACAGTCTGATTTTTCCTGCTTTTCTCCTGGATTCTGAACGTTTCTAAATCATATCACAGCTTTTTGAATGAAATTAAATTTTATCATAATTATTCGTGTGAACAATTTTATAAATATCTTTTAACTCAAACATATTTATTAAAGCAAATTCGAAAAAATGGAAAATATGAACAATAATATCGAATCTATGTTACATAATCATCAGTTTTTTCTTTCATAGGATCTTGTAACTTATATCGTATATATGTGATTTGTTTTTGTACTTTTTTTGTGAACGAATTTTGAGTTTAGCGAAAGAGTTCGGCACTACGTGTCGTCATTAGTTTTTCCTTGTTAGCTAAACAGTAGATTCATTGTATTATGCTTTTTTTATAGCGAAATATCTTTGAAAATAAAGTATGAATTAATGAACAGCGATTCAATAGAGTATCTTGTACCAACATGATACCATAATAACCACTAGGTTTTTCAAAAACTGACTTTTCCGATTAATTTCTGATTTTGCAAAAAAAATTCTGATGATTTTCTGATTTTGAAAAAAAAAATTCTGATTTTTGAGTTTTCGATCTGGCAACCCTGATTCCAACAGAAGATCGACGTTGATTGGTACTTTTTACGGTCTCTGGCCATATACTCAACCGATGATGTACCGAAATCAATTCTATCATTGGTACTGTTTTTCGTGCTATGTCACGTTTCATTTCATCTACATATATTTGTGTTCAATACTCAAAACGAAATAAGACTTGTAATATTTCTTTTATTATTTTATAGAAACAAATACTCAGACTCTAATTTGCATATTATTATTATTAGTAATTATTCTGAAATAAAAAAGAACATCGTTCACTCGAAGAAATTTTTTTGTTAAAATCATTTGGATATTTATAGAATGAAATTTGTTTCTAAAAATACGGATTCATGCTTTTTATATTCATTGAAATAAGTATGAAGTTATATTAACTTATTTAAAATGATAAAGAAAAAGTATATATTGATCAGAGAAGATACATAACTTTATAAGTATTATATGCAAAATAATTCATTTTGGATAAATATCAATATTCATTCGAAAATTATTCATGTCTAATAAAATAATTTAATAATAAAGAATCACAAATAATAATCAGAACTTTGATCGAATCATTCAATTTTGTATTTGTCGAATGTTTTCTCTTACTTACTTACATATATTATAATCAGTCATCCAATATGCATTTCAACACGTCAATTTCGACTTCCGATGGGTATCAAAATTTCAAACAGAGTCCTTGAATTGCCACTTTCCGATAGATCGAGAATTCGACGTTAAGTCATTTTTACTAATAGTTTTCGAACACTTAAACAATTATTTTCAAGGGAGATATCGGAATTTGACGAAAATAAAATAAAAACGATTTTGTTCAATAGATGTCTAAATTTCGAGTCGTTGGTATCTATAAAGTATATGCGGAAAAGGAAATTTAAACATGGATACTTTAAATTCACTGTCGTCGAACAGTTGATCTAAATATGAACTATTATTCTTACATCAAAATCATCTTTTCAATTCATAAAAAGATAGTCCTTTAAAATTTTATTCGTGTTTTCTAATTCCTGATGCTATTTTTTGAAAATTAAAAATAATATTTTTTGTCAAGAAAAGAACAACTTTCTTATATATCTAAGAGACATACGAGCTTTGTCTTTTTATTTGAGATTCCATATAAATTGCTTATTTAATAAATATAACATATCATAATAAATTAATTTAAACAGCGAAGCTTGAAATCAATATTTAGAATTTGTTTTTAAATTCATTATGACTGGGTCTTAGATAAGATCACAAGTGAATTTTAGTCTTATTTTCAATTAGTGAATAATAAATAGTTATTCAGAAAATTATGAAATTCAGGTGAATTACGAAGCGAATATAAATCGTTCTACTCAGATTATTGAATAATAAGCATGAAATTTTTTATAGTCGGATTTTGAAGAATCGCTTGATCAAGATTATAATCACCCGTCAAAGCTGTTATTATGATGGATTTCACTCTACTGCATCACTCGAAAGTATCATTTCGATATATTTATATTAATCAAGCGGTTGAAAGTTCGATAAATTTTTACTGATTCAAATTTGTTCAAGCAGTCGGTAGTGTTCTTTCAATAAATGTCTTTTCTTCAAGTACTCGAAACTTCGATAGCTGTCGAAGAGGCTCGAACTTGAAATAGAATGTACAAAAAGTATATATTTCAAATTTTCAAGCAATGCTCGCGCTCATTATATCCTTTTCTATGTCTACATGTGATATCTTTTTTTAGCAACTATATGTTCATTATTTTACTTATTGTAAAATAAGAGTATTTACAATCGTTGTCGTTATATGATAAACCAAACGTCCGTAAAAATAATCCTATTAATATTCACAAGAAATTGGCACTTCATCTCACTTTCGAAAAAAAGCCTTCTTAAGACGACATATTTTTTATTCCAAAAAATGGGTGAGAAAAGACACACATATATGCTAATGTAACGAAGACTTAGAACATTTTCAATATGGTTCGATAATACAAAATGTGATGTTAGAGAATATGTACGATGACTGTCTTTGTTGATCGAAAAAATATATACGAAGAATAAAAAAAAACCAATTCACTATTATATGTAAATATTATATTTTCATTTCTCTTAGAAATAAAAACAAGTTGAAAAAATATATTTGAAATTTTTGTGACTATTTCAGTTAATCTTTTGTAACTTTGCCAAAAAAAAGACAGTCCTTCTCATTCAAGACAATTTCTACAAAGATTTCAACATATTCTTCTTTATTTTTATGGAATAGTTTTTACACAGCCAAGAAATTTTCGTATTCAAATGATATTATAAATTAATCATTATTTTCATAATAAAAAAGAAGATAGTAAAATAGAGATTTTGTTTCACATAATTTTAATATGAAGAATTTCGATTATAATTACGATGAAATATTTACCACTTAATTATCGTACAAATGATAAGCAATTAGTTTATATGTCAAGACTATCAAAAATATAATAGAAGACATAGTCTAGTGTTGCTTACTTGCATAATTTTTATATCTCAAAATAAAACATTGAAAAACAGAAGAAAATAAATATACAAACCATTACAGAGCAAGTATATCAATGTACATTATCATAAAATATTTGAATGCTGTTGTATTTGTTTGTCAATATATGTTAAAGAAAAACAAAGAGGCATTGTCGCTTCTTTCTCATACAAACCGGAGAAATTCAACAAAAAAAAAACGTTCATATTCAGTCAATGCAAGGAAATGTTAAACTTTCGTCTGTCTAATGTATGATGCAAAGTTTATTATTCGTTTTTTGCTGTTGTATTGATGACACATTATACGTATATGTTAATTTTTCTCGTAAATGAAAAAGAAAACAGACATGAACAGATTAGATTCACTGTGAAAATTGTTAAATAATAACCAATATAAGAATCAAGACAGATAAAAGTGACAAACATATAACTCATGGTACAAAATGAAATAAAATACTCTTCACCCTAAAAAATTTTAATTAAATACATAATCAGAGAACATTGTGATATCATCATAATAAAAAACATCAAAAAATTTCTTCACATTGAACATGACGCAATTAACTATCCTAACCAATGCAGCAAAGCCTTACATGAATATCTGACTTATTTTCAATCAGTTAGAGTGATAGAAAACAGTCTTTTTTCTTTTAATGATTTCTATGGTATCTTGTTGTTTATTAATTTCATTCAATATACAAGAAATGAATAAAAATATTCTGTTAGAAAAAAAAATTTTTTTTTCGTTGTACAATAGAAATTCTTTATGGGTGTGGGTGTGAGTGTGGGTGCGCGTTTTCTCTTCACTAAACTAACAGCAAAACCAACACACACCCTTACAGAAATACGCACACCCGCAATCACGTCCCACACCCACACCCACCCTCACACCCTTCCATTAAAGCCTTATTGAACCTTTAACCTTTACCCTTTGACCCGGAACGAAGAAACAGACACACACTGAACACTATATAAATAGATGACGAATATATATATGTCAGACCCGATTTTTTTTGGCATTAGCTTAAGCAGACCCTCCCTTGCCGATGTTTCTTGAGAACGGTTAGGCGAAAATTTTTGAAACTTTCAGGGTAGATAGATCTCGATAAGTAGAATAAAAGTTGTCATAACATCAGAATTGCCAAATGCTTTCTTTAAGGAGATTTTGGAAGACCAAGGGTCAAAAACGACCTAAAGTTCTCCCCCGGCAAACGGTCATACTACATTCTGTTGGGCTGAAATTTTTTCTGCAGCAACTAGGAACAAATCTGGGTGCGTGTTTTTTTTCTTTGAAAAATACTCTTCCTGAGGATCAGGAGAAGCAAAACAATGGAGGCACTATCAAAAAACCATTAAAAAAAAGCTTTTTTTCGAAGGATTCTAATTTTGTAACACCCGCCAAATTTCATAGGTACAATATTTTCAAAAGAAAAAAAACACGCACCCCGATTTCATCGAAGTACTCATTAAAAAGGTTTAAGTCGAATCGGTCTTACCGTTTAGAAGAAAAGGGGAGAAAACTTCAATTTTTTGTTTAAAAATCTGGTTTTGAGAAAAACGAAAAGACAATTCCATTTTTTGGCTTTTTTAAGCATAAAATTGAGTTTTTTTTTTCGAGTATTTCACATTCAAAAAGGTGGTTTTGCCTTCTTAAAATGTGCTCATTAGATAGAGGGCATTTAAATCCACATACCGAACACAAAAAATGAAAAACGAAAAACGAAAAAACTAATAATTTTGGGTCGGGAAAGGGGGTGTTCCCTTAAGTACACAAGTGAATATCAATTATAAAATCAAAAATAAAATATATTGGAATATTTAAATTTAGAAAAACATTTTATTTAACTCTTTTCAAATTTTGTCATTCCAACAATGAAATCGTCAAACTTATGCAATATATCTATTTACCATCATTACATAATCATTATTTACACTTGATGAATTAGTGTTTTTTTATTCTTTAAAAAAGCATGCTATGAATAAAACTCTTTATATGTCAATGAATTATAGATAGAAATTGAATAGGTATAGCTAATGCAGTTACTATATTATACATGGATGAAGAATAATAACTATAAATGACTCTACACTCTCCGAATAAATTTACGTTTCTTTTTCTATTACACTTCTTCTTTTCAACATTAAATAATGGATAGAAAAAAATTAGGCGAATTAATATCGTCAACATATCTGTTCTAAATGTCTTTATTTCATATATAAAGCAGAGATGTCCATCGCGGCTGAAAATCTGCCGCTACCGCGCAGCGGCCTTAGAAGAAAAAAGCTGCCGCGCCACAACGGTTTATAAAAAAATGTTGCCGCGACGCTGCCGCACCGCGATGACTTATAAAAGAAACGCTGCCGCGCCGCTGCCGCGATGAATTATAAAATAAACGTACCGCGACGGTTTTCAAAAAAGTGTTTCTAATTTCACTGCTGTGACTATATTTAACCAGAGATATGGGTACTAGTCCATCAGATTTATTCAATATCAGGGCGTTTCATTTGTAAATCCTGAAATTCTATTAAATTCATACAGTTTTTCAATGTTCTCCAAAAAAAATCCTGCCGCTGCCGCGATGGTTTTTTAAAAAACTTGCCGCTACCGCGCCGCTGCCGTGATGACTTTTTAAAAAATCTGCCGCTGCCGCGCCGCCACCGCCATTGCGGCAGCGGCGCGATGGACATCTCTGATATAAAGATAAATCAACAATCGACTTCATTTTTCATTTTATTTCTTCGTCAATATTGTTCATAGACAGCTTATTCTAGAGTATATAATAACATATTATCTAACATTTGCTATGTCATTTAATACATTCTCTACACATAAATAAACTGAATCAACTTGCTACTATCATCTTTTTTTCTCGCCATTAATTCAAATGGATACATATACATGTTTGGAAGATTTATCAAATGAAATTTTTTTTGAATTATTTGATTATTTACATGCACTTGATATTTTTACTGCTTTTGCTTCATTAAATAAACGAATTTCATCTATTTTACAATCAATTGCACTTCATGTTATCATCTTAAATAATCATTATGATCAAGAAATTAATTTTCTTTCTTCTCATCTTACTTTTCATGCTCATCAAGTCATATCATTAAAATGTTATGATACAATTCGTGATCGTTCATCTATTATTAGTTTATTATTTGATCGACATCATTTTATTAATCTTCAATCATGTATATTTATGTTGGATAAACCATCAGATCAATTTGAAAATGTTCTTAAACAAATTGAAAATTTGAATAGACTTGTTTCATTTTTTGTCATACAACCAGATTATAAAAAAATCAGTGAGACAGACAAATGTGATATAACTCGAACTATATTCATGAATACATTATCTTCTCTTCGTTCAGTTATGCTTCGTTATAATTATAATTATAATTACTCCAACATATCAACTTATACTTTAAATGCTTCGAATCTTATATCACTTGATTTGTTAATATCTGGCAAAGTAAATACAGTATCAATTTATTCAATTTTGCCAATTCTTCGTGTTTGTCATAGAATACGATATCTACATGCCATAATAAATGAATTAATTCCATCAAGGAAAACTTTCCCGTAAGTTCCAATGAAAATATTTCACGAATATTCTTTATAAAACAAGATTGAAAATATAATCTTTCCTTTCTTTTTTCTTTTAGTGTTAAAGTTCAAAAACCATTTATTTATGAAATTGATCTTGTTATATCGTCACAAATCAAATCTTTTCATTTATCAATTTCTGTTGAATGTAGCATTCGTTCAATCGGTTATATCTTACGTTGTATGCCTAATCTTATTCATTTTAAATTTTATCATGAAGCACGAACAGTACAGTGGGAGAATGCTCAAGATTTGGTAAATGGTTATAAATGGCAAAATATGTTTGAAATACATGTTCCATTTTTATCTAAATTTGATTTTCATATGTTAATTCAGAAATATAATCCAAAATTGGATTTAGATATGATTATAAATTCATTTGAATATTTTCTTAAAAAATATCCCGAATGGCAAATGATTATTGATCGATGGAAAACTTATGGCAAATATCCAGGTAAGTAAAACCCCTTTAAATCGGAAAGACAAAATACAGAAGACTTGCCGTCAAGTAGAAATGCAATCAGGAGATAAATTTCAATCTATTTACTGTTTCTACCTTATTACAAGCAATGTACCGACAAAAAAAAGTATCCAGAAGATGAGAACAACTTTCGGTGGAGAGCCTATGGTACGATTTCCACTTCAGTAGGATTACGTATTCGTGAAATTTTTATAAAAAAAAACAAAACATAAAAATAGCTTTTTTAGTAGTTAATAGTTGTATCTCAGAGATTATGTTAAACAAGAATTTGCTTTCTTGTTCGACAGAAAGCACTTCCATAAAAGACTTGACAAAGTCTTCTTTTTTGTGTTAAATCTTATATGAAAGAAAGAGCGCAGAAGTTCAAGTAGTCCAAGAAAGTCAGTAGAAATATACTTTTTTATAGACATGCTTTGAAATATGATACAAATATTAATTAAATCTAATAAGTGGGTTCTGAAATTAAACATACCCTTTCAAACAAAACAAAAATGTTATTTTGTTTAAAATCAAATTTTCTCTGTGATTCTAGGTTACGAGATACAAAAAAAAAAAACAAAGATCATTTATCTGTAATTGCTATATATTTGGCTTTGTTGAAGAAAATGATTACTTCTTTATAATAAAGTTGGAAAGAAATATTCAAAAAAATCCATGATAAAAATAATGAATCAATCAACTAACAGGTTGATTATGAAATTCTCTTGTGTTGGACTTTCCAACCATCTATTCTATCTACCTTCAAATAGTTTTCGATAACAAAAATCAACTTTTTATTATGAATAAGAAAGGAATATTTATAAAATCTTAAAAGCAATGCATAGATAACCAACTATTTGACAATGAAGACTCAAACATTAGTCTATGAGAATCTATTTTATCCCGAAATTGAGTTATTTAAGCATATAGTTTTGTTTTTTAGGAGAGTTTCTTATGTTACGTACGTTTGATTATCATAAATACAAAAGAAATTTACCAATAAACATTCCACTTATCGATGACGAATCATTTGAGACACGATCAACAAAAGCAACAACAAATGATCATTATCTTTACTATTCAGATATAAAATATTTCGAATTAAGTTTGCCAATGAGAACACTAAGAATTAATTGTTCTTTTCCTTTATTTCGACATATCAATTCACTCATGATACATATGCCAATAACATTTTCATTCCCGCCAAACAATTCATTGAATATTGGTAAGAAGAATACATATTTCTTTTAAATAATACAGTTCAATTGATGAAAATGAATTTATCATTTTTGAATTTTAATTTATACAGATAAATTTTATTTGATTATTCTTTCAGTCATTTTGTGTTCATTATCTTTTTTCTTTTAGAGAACTCTTTTCAAACAAATATAAATGAGTATATACAGCAATCTATTACTTGTCTTTCAAAGATTGTTTATTTACCCAATGTAAATCAAATTGAATTTGAAACATTTGATTATTCAGATGAATGGAAATATATTCAATTTATTCTACAGTAAGGATACTTCATAGTGATGGACAGTCATCTTTGTTTTTCTGTTTCGATTTCTAAATGTATGAGTTAATTTTTCATAATTCTAATATGTTTTTCTCAATTAATAATATCATTTTATGTCTGACAGATGATATTCAATTCTATAGAATAATAATCATTGACAATAAATATAAATATATTAAGTATATTTTATTTTATTTTTTGTTTTAGTGCATGTCCAAATGTGATTAATCTTAAAATTAGTGCTTCATATTGGATTTTATCAGAATTTATCAATAATCCATTTCTTATTTCAATTTTCAAAAAAATTAAAGTACTTATATCAATAAGAGAAAATCGTTATATTCCTTCAAATTTTCTATTAAAACTTGTTGAACGTTTTCCATCAATTACTAATATTGAATTTGAAATGTTTTCATTTGATGATTGTATATCTGCTATTGATATATTACTTAATTATCTAAAAGATTTGTGTTATCTTAAAATTTATTATAGTCAAGATTCAGTACTCGATCATCCTTTTTCTCGTAATTATATTATTGATAAACGTCGTCAAGCATTTAATATTAATATTATCAATCAATATAATGTTATAGTTAGCAAGAATAGAGAATCTGTAGAAATTAGGTTATGATTTTATATGTAAATAGATTTATTTTTTGTGTAAATAAAATTTAAATAAATATACGTTATTTAAGTCATTTTTATTTATAAGAATAAAGATTATTTCTGATGTTTGTTTGAGTTTACAAAAGTTAGATGAATATTCAAGTAAAGTTTATAGATTGTTTGGAATGTTTTCAAAATAAAATATTCAAAAATAATTATAGTATTTGATCATTTTATTGTATCATTATTCTATTCAATTAAGTATATGTAAATATATTTCGATTAACTACAAATTGAAAACTAGGTTTTCATTTGTTTGAATGTTTTTACATAATCAATGTATGTTAATGATGATAATGGTTGAATTGTTTATGTGTATCAAGGTTTTTGATGTTTTATTGATATTTGAAAATATTTCAATATATTTACTTTTATAATTTATTGAGGAGGTTAATCGAGAGATTTAATTGATATAATGTATTGTAATAATTAGCCATACAGTGTGAACCGAAAAAAGCCTGGTCGTTTTTATTTTTGACACAAATAAAAAAGTTATTCCCTCGACTGAAGGAGGGAAAGCGAAAGATGGTCGAACGAAAATTGGTCGCTACGAAAAATAGTCGAGAAATTTGTAATAAGAGAAAAAAAATTTTATTAAACAAAAGACACTCATTGAGACAAATAAGCAGGCAGAAGATTGTGATTATCAGTTTTGTATAATATTGTCGTATTAATACAATTGGTATGAACTCGATCTTTACATTTGCCAGTTCGAGCATGCTCACGTTTTCAATAAGTTTTATCATTATTGTTTGTATCGACGGTGTAACCAAAGCCTTCAAATAGTACTAAAGGTTTATTCTTTTGCGTTGTGCTTAGTGTAAATATAGACATTTTGGCAGAAAAGTACAACCAACTCTGTTTCGAGAGCTCTATATATATATACCCGAAACAGCCTGTTCATCTCATCATTTTCACATTAAAGAGAAATTATAGCTTCTAATAATTCTTCTTTGAAGAAATCTACAGATCATTTCAAAGTAACTTCTGTCTGCTTATTATTCTCAATGAATCTTATGATTAAAAAAACTTGATCTTTTCTCGACTATAGTTGGTAGCGCCTATTTTTCGTGGCGACTATATTTCGTAGCGACCAATTTTCGTTCGACCATTTTTCGTAGACCCATCTTGATGTAATGCACGCTATTCATTTTCAATGAGTTTAGCATTACCATTGATTGATCAGTGAGTAGTTATTGTGTATACCTGCCGATATTCATTTTCAATTCAACAGTAAGCAATAAACTGACGATATTGTTTTTTTTCATTGAATACTGGTATGGCATCATCGAGAACATCGTCGCTAACACTTTTTTCATATATAATTTAAGAATTTGATCGCTTCTTCTTCCAAATTATAACATATGTCAAGTTGATATAGAATATGGAGAAACCATTAAATCGAAGAATTGAGCAATAGAATATTTTCATTATTAGTAATAATAAAGATCATGAAAATAGTAAATAAATATTACAAAAAATGAATTCCATACCAACTGAATTTCCTGAAATAACCATTTAAATAGAAAACTGATTATGATAGAATTTCTTTAACTTTCATATGAAATTTTCGTGTTTTTTTTTTGTTAGATTTATTATTGTATATGAAAAGTTTCTAACCATGATAATCTTATCTTTTTCAACGAAAGGAATAATCAAATCGCTGAAATCATGTAACATATATTTTTTTTGCATTCATATTCATTTTATTCAGAAAAATCAAGAATTTTAACCATTGAAAAATGATTATATATATCTTTTCTGTGTTTTTTTATTTTTTTTAATTCAGTTGGAGAGAAAAAGTTCATTAAGTGAGTGTCAAAATTGTTCATCCATCTTGATCTAATTAATTTTATGTTGCTTTTCATTACTATATAGTAGAACAAACTACTAACTTTGATGGATACTATTCAATAAAACCTGGCAATACTCTACATGCAAAAACTTTTACTTTTCGTTTTACTTCGATTCTTTCTGATAAAGATATGCACTAGGATGTGTGAATAATTTTCATACTCACTATCATTAATCAGACATCGTTGTTTATGAAAGTTTGTTTCAATTTCATGTGAGTTTCGAACGAAAAAGTGAGAAAACAATTATGACATTTAATTATGATTATTTGAACCGAAGAAAACAAGTATGTATATGAGAAGTCGGTCATTGATAACAATAATCTTTTATGTGAGGAAATAGAAAGAAAGAAAATTATCATCTAACTTATTTCTTTTCTTGACATGGAGCAAAACGAAAAGAGAGAATTTATAGAGGAGAGGTTTCTTAAACATCATTTGAATATAAAAATCTTATCAATATATAAGTCCTATGTATTTATTGTGAAAATTATACAACTGGACACATGTCCACGTTTCATAAATTTTCATTTCTATAGAATTCCATATAACGAAGGAATTCAATGACAACCAAAATTAGATAAGAGAAAGAATTAAAGCAAATCTAGCTAAGGAAGAAAAATAATAGAACTCTGCTGGACTTTCAGATTTGCTCGAATTCCTTGAATTCCAAAACAATCTTGGTAGTGAGTGTGAGGATATCTTCTATTGAGACAATACAATCGAATTCTATTATATTGCTACATCTGCTTAAATTCCATGATTTCCATCATAAACTTGATTCCAGTGAGTGTAGGCTGCCCTCACCCTCATCAAAATCGCGTTAGAAATCAAGAAAGTCGAGCAAATTTAATAATTCAATAGAATTCTATTCGTTTCCTTCTTTTGCTTGAATTTCTTCGATCTATAATTAAATTAAGTTAGAGATTTATGTAGAATTCTATAGAGTTTCCTTGATTTTCGAATTCGTCGACAGTGGATAATAACTGTCAAAGTGTTATGGGACTGAATCCTGAATGAGCCAAGACAAGTAACGATCTTAAAACCAGTTTATCATTCAACTTTATTATGAATTTTTTTTCTACATTGCAGCTAAATTATTCACATTTGTAAGAATTTGTTGTGAAATGCTATTGAAGTACATATTTATATAGGATGCTAATTGAATTTTCTATTAAAAGTTTTAATTAATATCTATAAATATATAGAAACTGATCGGTATGGATATTCTTTTCACGCGTTCAACTATCAATCATATTTGTGAAAGAAAACGATGACAGGAGAACGGAGAGGGTGTAGATGTGAGTGTGGGTGGGTGTGGGTGTGGGGTGTGGGGTGTGTGCGTGTGGGTGTGGGTGTGGGTGTGGGGTCTGGGTGTGCGTATTTCTGTAACGGTGTGTGTTGGTTTTGCTGTGAGTTTAGTGAAGAGAAAACCCGCACCCGCACCCACATCCACACCCAAACTCCAGTCACCCATACCCCACCCCACACCCCATGTCCGCACACCCACATCTACCCACATCCACATCCCACACACCACATCCTAGGTGACTATTACTCATGAGAGTAGAAATAATAAATCACTGCTCAGAATGAGGTGCTCACATAGAGGAGTTTTAATGTAATCACATTCTCCACATCCCCGGATTTCTTTCAGAAGTACAATATATGAAAAAGTAGAGTCATTTCACTGAGAAGATTTACATCGGTCAGAGAAAAACGTTCTGCGTTGGAAAAAAACGAGGTCACTATACTGATATTAATTACACAATAGAAGAGACCGTATATTGATCTAAATAACTTTCCATGTGAATAAGATAGAGAGCTGCGATTTACACTACTGGAAAGAGGAGTTCTGGAGACATCAAGGGATATTCAAATCTGATTGATTAATGTTGACTAATAAGATTTGAATATCCCTTGATGTCTCCAAGACTTTTCTTTGCAATAGCGAAACTTGTAGCTCTAGGTCTTCTTCCTATCGAAAGTTATTTAGATAGCCGT